TTCCACAACAATGTATTCCTATGAGAGTGCGTTAGATGAAATCTCAGAGAATTCAAAAGAATCACCTTCAACAAAACCAAAGATGGCATAAAATAAACTTTTGACTACATTTAAAGAGAACAAAAACAGTTGAATGAAATAAGTCAATACAGAATACAAAAGAGGAATTTAGTAAAGAGATACAACTATTGAAGAAACATCAAATTTAAATTTCAGAAACAAAAACCTCAGCATATTAAATAAACTCAGGAGGATATTTCACCAGTAGGGTGGTCAAGTGGAAGACAGTCACTATGAGGGCTTTAAGAGACAGAATTAATACATTCTGAGAATGAAAGATGAAGTTAAAATATGAATAGGACACTGGATGTCATTAAAAGACACAATCTATACAAATCATGGGCATAGGTGAGTGTGGTGGTTTAAACAGGAAATGTCCCCCACAGGGTCATATATTTAACACTTGGTATCCAGCTGGCAGCACTATTTGGGAAGGTTAGGGAACCTTAGGAGGTGCAGCCTTATTGGAGGAAGACTGTCATAGGGGACAGGCTTTGGGTTTTCAGAGGTTTGCTTCACTTTTACTTACACTCTGGTTCTTGTGTACAGATAAGATGTGACCAGCTAGGTGCCACACCATGCCAAACTGACTTCACCATTATGAACTCTAGAAGTCGCTCCTGGCATTTTATTGTAGCAACAGAAAAGTAAGCTAATGATAAGCTGGTATCAGGGAAATAGAGTTTTTGCTCTGAAGAACCTGCCCGGTGGTTTTCTTTCTTTCTTTCTTTCTTTCTTTCTTTCTTTCTTTCTTTCTTTCTTTTTTTTTTTTTTTGAGTAATGTGATGGACTAGAAACCTGTATTTTTGATGAAGAACATGGACCTGTTACCTGAAAAGAGTGTTATGTCACCTAGTCTTGGAAAGCACTCAGATGCTGTTGTGAGTTCTACCCCAGGCACCAAGAATATTTATAACGGTTACCACTGTAACACTGCCAGCACAGAAACTACAATCTGAAAGATGCCATGCTGCAGAGTATAAGGGATTCTGGTTTTAAATCTAGCTGTGGCATCTGCCTGTGATATGACTCTGGCAAATATTTAACCTTTACCATACTTTCCATTATTGGGAAGGGAATCATCTCTGCCAAGCAGAAGTGCTGGACCATATGTGATGATAAATGCAAATGTCTACTATTCCATAGATAGCAATAAATATATACCTGTAATATGTACCAGCACATTTATCAGATCTGGGACAATTCTCCAATGAATTACTTTAGGTATAAGTAAAACTGTAATTGTTACTTCTCTAGTATTTTCTACTCTCTATATTAGTTTACCTAACAGTAGAGATGCTAGTCTCTTTTTATTTTCACAGAACCAAGCGCTAACAGTTTTCTTTACACATCATAGTACATTCTTCTGGCACCTTTTTCCTTTCAAGAAAGGATTTGGTTACCATCAAGTGAAAATACTGAATGAAAATTTCCACAATGCCTTATCAAAGGAATTAAATGGTTTCAATAAACACTAAAGGAATAGATCATGATTACTAGGATGCTACATGGAGTTGCTAAGAAGACTAGCAATTTTCTTGTTGATCAGGATTAGATTAGAAATAAGAAACATGTCTACTGTGGCATAAATGAACATTAGAAAGTCAAAAGGCTGGGTCTTTCTTGGTGTTCTTAGGATAAGGTACAAGCAGCAACAAAGATCAGATTGGAAACAAATTAAGCAACCATAGCTGAAGGTCTCTGATTTGTTGTCAAGTAAGGTAACAGTGACTGGATGAGATAGTGGAGTGTGTATAGTGGAGTGCCTATAGCAATGTGGAATAGGTAGGGGATTTTTGCTTTTAGTAGTATTGGAGTTTGAAACCAGGTTCTCATGTACACAGGCGAGTGATCTACCACTGAGTTATACCCACAGCCCACTGCAAAGTTTTGTGGTAAATTCTTGGGCTTAAAGGTGGTAGTACTGTAGCCAGGCAGTGGTGTCCCTAGCTTTTCATCCCAGTACTCGGGTAGCAGAGACAAGCAAATCTCTGAGTTTGAGGCTAGCCTGGACTACAGAGTGTGTTCCAAGGTAGCCAGTCTTGAAAAAACAAAACAAAAAGGTGACATTACTGTAAAAATTTACTTTCAAGATGTCTTTCTTATGTATAGTTATTTTTCTTCTTCATATAAATGATAGTATTAATATTACCACAAATGCTATACAAATGGTAGTATTGATACTACCACAAATGCTTATGTCATGATTGGTAAGAGAAACCAGTCACATTTTTTTGCCTGTAAAGCATATGTATATGCACATGGTTAGAGGAACTAAACATTTTTTTTTTTTTTTTTTTTATGTTTAGTTTTGTGAGGGTGTTTTGCCTGCATGTGTGTCAATGCACATGTGTGCAGTACCCATGGGAACCAGAAGAGGGCATCATATCCTCTAAAAGTGGAGTTCCAGATGGTTGGTAGCTGCCATGTAGATACTAGGAACCAAACTTGGGTCCTCTGGAGGAGTAGCCAATGCTGCTCATAACTATGAAACCATCTCCTTAATTCCCAAACAAATTTATTTTTCATAAAGTTTACTACAAATATTTTACTTCCCCAAATACCATTTTCTTTGTCATTTTTATTTAGTTTTTGTTTTGAGACAGGGCTCATTCTATAGCTTAGGCTGACTCAGAATTCATGATGCAACCAGGTCAGTTTTGCATTCAAAGTCATCCTTCTGCCTCAATATCTTGAGTGCTGGAATTATGGATGTGAGTCACAGTGCCTAGCTAAATTTGTTGCTTTGCTTATTTGCTTTTAGTTTAAATTTCCATTTTTTGAGGATTTTTCTACATGAGTACTGCTTATGTCATTTAAATCTGTTATTTTTGTTAAAAAAGAATTTATTTTTAAATTATGTGTGTCCTTGTATTATTGTGTGCACATGAAGGCAAGTGCCCATAGAGGCTAGGAAAAGGAGCTGAATCTCCTGGAATTGGAGTTAAGGTGGTTGTGAGCTACCTTATGTGGGTTATGGGAACTGAACTTGGGTTCATAGAAGAACAGCAAGTGCTCATAATTGCTGAGCCATTTCCCCAGCCCCTGAATTTGCTATTTTTTGAAAAAAAAAAAATGCTCAAATGTGCTATGGCCAAAGAATAGACTTATATAATATTTAAGTAATGTTCATGAGGATTTGTTTGAGAGTTGCTCTAACAAGACAGTGCAGCTAGGAAATCATAACTGTTGAATAATTGAATGGCTGAACTGCTGCTAATTTTCTCCTGTGGGTGAGGTAACTCGCACACCGGAGAAGAATTAGGAGACTACTGACTGCCCCAATTTGCATATTTGTATATAAAGGGAAGAAGTAGTAATCACATCTCCTTTCTTTCTCAGGCAGACATACAAGACGCATGAATAAATAAAATGAACTAGCTGTGTTAGCTTCAATTTTAGATTTAGATAATTTCTTTTCTCTTTCCCATTCATTTTCCCTGTCTCCTAAAACACAGTTCACAGAAATAATACTGTCTTTGTAAATGAAGTTAAGATCGACCAATACATGAAATGTTAAAATTCCACTAGCATTTTCACAGTAGAAATTATTAACAATTTCTGAGGCAGAAGTGACATACTCATTCTATAGCTTATCTGTGTCTGAGAGAATACTTGGACATTCAGAGAGAGAGAGAGCTAAGTGGAGAGGTTATTGTTAGATTCAAAGAGGAGTCCTTAGTTCAGCTAACAGGCCATTCTGCATGACCCTGTTCTTGAAACGTAAGTTTATGGACAGTTATGCCACACCCTCAATGAGCCAGGAATTCAGCAGGATGCTAAGAACATAGTGGTGAATGAAAACAGATGTTATGTTGTCTCAAGGACCTTCCCAAAGTAAAAGAAAAAAAAAATCAGTTAATTACAATTACTGACAAGTGCAATGAGAGCAAAAAGCTCACTATTAAAAACACTATAGCTGGGCAGTAGTGGCATACACCTTTACTCCCAGTGCTCTGGAGGCAAAAAACAAAAACAAAAACAAACAAACAACAACAACAACAACAACAAAACCCAAACAAACAAAAGAACAAGAACACTGTAATAAGAGAGGGTTCACTTAGTCTTATGTTAGAGAACTCTTATCTGAGGAAGTGATATATGAAAATGTAAATGTGAAGGTTTCATATAAATGCAGAAGTGTAAGCAGATTTTGTTGACTGGAGGAAGGATGATGTCCCAACAGAATTAAAGAAGGTCACTAAGTTTAGAGAACAAAAAAGAGGGAAAGTGGTGTATGAAGAGGCTGAAGCTGCTAACATATCAAGGTAGGCTCCAAAGCAAACTCCTATATTCTCAGGACTTCAGTTCTCAGCTCCTTGACAAAGATTCCTGTGATTATGTCAGCTTGTTAGCATCATTCCTAAACTTTGAGGGTGAGTGCATATACAGATATATATTTACATTGCCTCTAACTCATTTGGAAAACAGTTAAAGCCTTCTAATTGGTTATTCAGATGTAAACCTGTCTGATATACCAGTGTGCAAGAAACTGAAACCAGAAAAAGAGTAAGCATACATATCTATGCAGCGTTGCAGGGCTACAACTCAAAGCTAAGCAGCCTTAGAATTTAAGATCTCCATCTGATTAGTAAACTATAAAGAAAAAGAAAAGAATAAAAGCCCCTCCAAAATGCTAAAAATATTGTCAAGGTGTATAAATACATAAAACTATGTTGTTAAAAACGAGTCATTACAATTATGTATTCAAATACATGACAACATCATTTTATAAAATACATAATTTATTACATTTGAGTTCATAGTAGAGAATCTTAACTATAAAAATGAGTTAGAAATAACAAAGAGATATTAAATCTCCAAATTTTAGAACCTGAAATATCAAATTAAAGGGTTTTTACTAAACCTCTTTTGAGAATATTATATTCTCTCAAGGGAAAAAAGGGGAATTAAAATTAGACACATTGGTGAAGGCAGTGTGTTCTTCTCAGCTGGTTTTATTCTCCACTGAATCTCAAGTATAGGATTATATATATATATATATATATATTTTTTTTTACTTACAGGAAGCTGTCACTGTTCTGTTTTCCAATAACCCTCAAAACAGAATGGAAAATGCTTATGCAAAATGACACAAGCTTTCACCATTCTCCGCAGGCTTCTCCATGTCAATGCATTTTGGTACAACAGCTTTCCCAACTCTACAGTTCTGTCAGTGAACTATGAATATGTTTAAATATTTTCCAGATTCATCATGGAGGCTGCTTTTCTTCTCTGCACTGTAATCACACTGAGCTGCAAACAAAACAAACAATCAGTAAGTAGTTTCTCTGTGGAGAGTGTAAGACTAAAACAAAACAGTATGCTACATCACAACCAATAGTTACTAGGTAGTCTGAGTGGAAGGGCCTTTAAAGAGGGTATGTGTGTGTGTGATCATTCCATTTTACTCTTGAAGTGTCTGAATCACATTAGAGAAATGCGTACCAAATATAACAGTCCATAGCTCAGAGTGACACTCTTTGGGTTCCTATATTTCTTTCTTTTTTTCTGAGACAGGGCCTCCCACATGCTGGGATTAAGGCATGCACTACCACTACCCAGCTCCTATATTTCACAGATGGTGAAAAAACATTCTGATAAAAGTTAATCAGCAAAGTGTCTCAAACACAAATGTGTCCTAGGCAAACATAGAGCTGGTAAACAGATTTTAAGTAAGAGAAGTCTAAGGAGAAAATAACTTTTGAGTATTAACTGGGGTTAGTTACATGTACATAAGAGAAAAAAAATCCAACAATACAAAAACAAACAAAAACCAACCAACCAAACAAACAAAAACAATAACAACAACAAAAAACAGCACAGGGCAGGTTTTCTTCCTGACACTATACTTCACTCCAGTTCTCTCTTCAGATACAACCTCTACCTTCAGTTTATTTATTTATTCTTTGAAACAGGGCTTACTATGTAGTTCAGACAAGCCTTGAACCTTGTGACCCTCCAGCATCAGCCGTCTGAGTCCCAAAACTACAGGCAAAGCTACCACCTACTCTTGAAGTATATCTCTTTATATATTTCTAAATGAGCACATCCCCTCCCTTGGTAGTTAAAAAGTCTGAGTCTCCTTTATTGCGTAGATGATCTGCCTCAGAAATAACTGTATAATAGATTTCCTTTATTTTTCTTAATATTTGTAAACTTTTCCCTATCTGAACACAATTTCATTGGTCATTTACTGTTGAATATTTGTATGACTTTTAATCTCTTAAAATTAGAGGGAAAGTCATGTGTGGTGGCACATGCCTTTAATCCCAATATTTAGAATTGAGAGGCTGGCTAGGAGGAGCTCTGTGAGTTTGAGGTCAGCCTGGTCAATATAGTGAGTTCCAAGGCAGCCAGGGTTACATAGAGAGACCCTGTGTCAAAACTAAAACAAAACCCAACAACAACACTTACAACAACAAAACATAGCTACTAAATGGCAACATGCCATGCCATCAGTAGCTAAGAATAATACTCTGATGATAACAGTACTAACTAATGTTAGTTAAAAGTATGTTTGACTTGATTGCTTTGTTGCCATCCATCCATCCTTCCATCCTTCCATCCATCCATCCATCCATCCATCCATCCATCCCACCCACCTACCCATCCATCATCCATCCTGCTTACCTGGCTGTCTGTCCATCTGTTCATCCGTCCACACATTTTCCTGCTCACAGTCTGTCATCTGTCAGTCTGTCTGTCCATCTGCCCACCCGTCCGTCCGTCCAACCATACATTTCAATTACCTAAATGCTCATTGAACTGGTATCTATTCATTTCTTAAAGGAGTTATTGCTCCTAATTTAGAAGAAATTTCTATGATGTGTATACATTATGAGAAATTACTCTTTACTTACTCCAGAATTTCACTGATATATTACATTTTTCAAATTACTTCCCAATGGCTAAGTTTTTATATTGTGTTTTAAATTTATTTGGTTATATACAAATGTACATTAAATAAAGATAATATGTACCTGAAATATTTTATTTCTACATAAAACCTAAAATAATAAAGTACAATTTGAAACACCAGAAAAATACTTTCAAATATAAACACAAGTACTTGACTTTGGACAGAACATTATGTTGAGTGTATTGCTCCTAGTACAAACTTTTGTGCAGTGATGTTCTGTATCTGCTTTGTCTAACCTTCTTACTAGCCAATTACCAAACACTTTCAATCTGGCCAGTATGATCTCAAGTTTTCATTTCATTTAATTTCAGTAAAAAAGTTCTCTCTGGCTATCAAATACTAGAGTTGGTAGTTCTAGATACAGGTGTAGACAGAGGATACTGATGTTTATTTTACATATAAACTTTATATACTCTAATACTTCAACTGCAGTATTAAAGAGATTAATTTTATGCAGGTTAATTGAGTAAAGATCAAACTGTTAGTTCTCTGGGGACTTGTGAGGAACCCTGCTGATTTACTTTTCATCTATGAAGGCTGTTTATCAGCTCTGGATAATGAGGGTGTTCCCTACCTGCTGGGATGCTGAAGCAGCTCTCTCTTCTGCCTGACTTAGACGTCTTTGAAGTCTGTTTGCCTTTTCTTGATGTTCCAGAATTAACTTTTCATTCTTTTAGGGGAAATATAAAACAAATTCAAATCCAAATGTGATGTGGACATGTTTTATAGAATAGCCAGTGAAAAACTTGGACATCATTTTATCACTTATAAAATAAAGATACCATCATCTCCATATTTACATTTTCTAAGTTATGAGCACCATGTTACACAATTTTTACTTCTTCCTAAGTCAGTGGTTCTTAATTTGTGGGTCAAGACTCCTTGGAGGGTTGGACAACTCTTTCAGGGGTCACATATCAGATATCCTGCATATCAGATATTTACATTATGATTCATAACAGCAAAATTACAGTTATGGAGTTGCAATGGAATAATTTTATGGTTGGGGGTCACCACAAGGTGAGAAACTGTATTAAAAAGGGTTGCAGCGATAGGAAGGTTGAGAACCATTGTCCTAAGTTATTTTCTCCCCTCATATCATCCAAGACTCTGTTTGACAAATCTAAAAGCAAACAATCACAAATGAAAACAAGACTTTTTAAAAAAAAAAAAAAAGAAAGAAAAAAGAAAACAAGACTTACTGAGTTTTTAGTCTGTTAACCTTGTGGTGCTTGATCATTGCTTTAGGACCACAGAAGCCAAGCACTGGGCCTTATAACCAGACTCAGCAAAGGGTTATAGTAAACTCTGTTTTTGTGGGCTCCCCAGAGCATCTGCATCCTGCAGAAGCTATTAAGGTCAACAGGGTTAACTAGACATTGTTCCCCCCAAAGATGCTACAGTTCTAATTTCTTACAGTTGTGAGTGTGACCTTATTTTGCAAATAATCTTTGCAGATGATCAAAGTATGGTGAGTCATACTGTATGGCTGATGTCTTGATGAAAATGGCAGATTTGGACACAAAGAAAGATACATACAAGGAAGATGCTGTGAAGATAGAGCATCCCTTCCACAAGCCCACAAGCCAAGGAATGCTCAGAGCTGCAAGAGCTGGGAGGAAGGTGGTAAGAGTCTCCCAAGAAGCCAACACTATAGACACTTTCTTGCTTCTGAAACCATGAGGATACAGTGTTATGTTATTTACACAGCCAAGTTTGTAGTACCATGATATAACAGTGACTATAATATGAATATCAAGTGATAAGTACATACTTCATTTCAATACGTTAAAAACAATTTGTCATCTGAAAACATGTTTCCCCCTGACACTTATCTGCTTGTCACAATGCATCCTAAAAAGATATTTTTTGTACAAACAAGCTTATTATATAGGTTTTTCTGGTGTTAACTAAATCCAGAGAATACAAAGCCAAATAGGAATGGCTAAAAACCCCTTTTTCTATGAAGAACTAGGTAGCTGTTTATGTCCTAGCACTAAAGGGATTAAAGTGAATGCCATTCTGAGCAACATTTAACACTGAAATAAACAGTACAGGATTAAAAGAAGCTTATTATAATTGATAGTGTCCAAAAGCAAAATTAAATCTATGAAGAGATCTATATCAGCTGTACTAACCAACCAAGTTGTTTAAGTATTAAATTTTAAAAAGTACCTCATACACTAGTGAATGAGGGAGAGATCTCATTATCTACAATAATCATTTTGATATCTACAATCAGACTATATATAATATGTTTTTTTCCATATGGTCACCATAAAGGTTAAAACAAAGTGCAGCAGACTGGGTAAATGATTTTTTTTTTTTGTTTCCTTTTGGTCAAATATTGTTAACCCTACTGTACTGAAAACTGTGCTTTTTATTTACAATGTATTGTTGCAAGGGAAAAATATTCCAAGGGACATTTCAATATCAAATCTTTAACTATTTCCTAAATATCACATATCTGAAGTTAGAACATAAATGAAGATTAGAGCTCTAGGGAAGCACTAAACCTAGAAATTATTTGACTTTATAAAGCCATAAGAAATGAGGAACTCTTTTTTTGCATATGATTTTAAGGCAGATCTATCTAAATATTATTTTGTATATCCTATTAGACAAAAGCATTTTTGATATGGCTTTTGTGATGAAGTGAAACAAATGAAGAGGACTTAGGGACACAAAACAATCTTAGAGATTCTCATGAAAAAGGATCCTAAAGCATATAGTCTCTAAAACACTGCACAAATTATATTATTAACACCAAAAAAGAATTCTACTTTTACCATATTCAAAAGATGAGTCACTGGTTTTCTAAGATTTTATTCACATCACATTAAGTGTGGCATTCAGGGGTGATTTGTATGTGGTTATTTCCAAGTAGAGAATTAATTTGGATTTGGTGCATTTAAAATGCTACAGTGTGTGTATCAAGCTACAGTAGAAAGTACTTCCCTGGGGGGAGGGGAGTCATTTTCTTACCTCAGCTACCTTTTCATTTGCCATTTCCAGCTGAGAAAGTAGCTCCTGGGTATGAAGTTTCTGTCGACTCAGCTCACTCCTATTAACCAAGAAGGGGCAGGGAGAATTTGAGAACTGATTAAAACATTAAATTGAAAAAGAAAAAGCTTGGAAGTATATGCAAATATAAAATACACACTTAAAACTCAAGTTTAAAACAAGAATAAAACAATGTAAAACTAAATCTTTACTAGTGAGACATGTTTACATTTTGAACAAAAGTTTTTAATTAGCAAACAACTTATTATTATTATTATTATTTAAAATATAATGTGGGTGTTCTGAATGAGAATGACTTCCATAAGTTCATGTTTGAATAGCTGGTTCCCAGTTGGTGGAACTGTTTGGAAAGGATTAGGAAGCATGCCTTTTTTGAAGGAGGTGTGTCTGTCACTGGCTTTGAGGTTTAAAAACACACTATTCCCAGTGTACTCTTCTCATAACTTCCTACTTGGCTGATCGAGATGTATGCTCTCAGCTATTCCTGCTGCCATGCTTTTACTCTGTCATCATGAACTTTAACTTTCTGAAACCATAGCCCAATTTAAACATTTTCTTTTATACATTGCCTTAGTTACGATGTTTTGTCACAGCAATAAAAAAGTAACTAATGTATAAAATATACATATATTCTAGGGTAGTTACACTGTGGATATACTTAAGACTATTGAACACAGGAAAATTGTTCAGAAAGTAAATTGTAAATGATGTATATTTTGTTACAATTAAAAATTATACCACAGACAGGTTTAGTGGCACACATCTTTAATCCTAACATACCACATTTATGATCCTTCTTTTTAGATTTGTTTTTTTCATTAAAGACTTTTTTTTGCATGTAATATACATATATAGTTTTAATGAACTTTTCTTATTTGGGTTGTTCCTTCCCAGAGGGAAGGAAAATGAAAAGACCACATAACAAAAAACTTTAACACGAGACATGAGAATCTCTCTTGTCGTAGTCACTGTTCCATTGCTGTGTAGAGAGAAAGCATTAAACTGGGGGCTTGCTTAGCTTCAGAGGTTAGTCCCTTATCATCATGGCAGGGGACATAAAAGCATACAAGCAGGCCCTGGAGCAGTAGCTGAGAGCTATATCCAGATTCATAGGCAGAAAAACTCTAGAATTGGCATGGGCTTTTGAAAGTTCAAAGCCCATCCCAGGGACACACTATCTCCAACAAGTTCACACCTCCTAATTCTTTTCAATCTTTTCAAATGGCACCACTTTCTGGTAACTAAGTATTCAAATATACGAGCCTATGGGGGCAATTATCATTCAAACAACCACACTCCATTCCCTGGCCCCTAAAGGCTTGTAACAATATCATACTGCAAAATGCATTTAATTCTAGTTCAAAAGTCCCCACAGTCTTATCAGAGTATCAACACTGTTTAAAAGTCCAAAGTTCAAAGTCCCTTCTGAGATTCAAGGCAATGTCTTAATTGTAACCCCTTGTGAAATCAAAAATCAAAAAACAGATCATGTACTTCTAGCATATAATGTCAAAAGATGTACATTACCATACCAAAAGGGAGGAAAGACTGGACCAAAGTAAAACCAAATATCAGCAAAGCAAACTCCAAACTCTGCACCTCTATGTCTGATGTCAGAGTACTATTCAGATCTCCAATTCCTTTCAGCTTTGTTGATGCAGCATACTTCTCTCCAGCTGGTTTCATTCCCAGTCTGAAGCTTTCCTTAGCTTCCCACAAATCTCTCATGTTCAACATCTTGGGATCTCTAACAAAATCTAAGACTCAGCTTCACACCTTCAAGCAATGGTCTTTCTGGGCCTCCATGCAGGGACACCGCTGACACTTGGCAGAAGCTGCCAAGTCCTGCTGCTTGCCGGGGCCTGGGACTTGGCTGCCTCTTCAAGTATATTTGCATCAGCTTTCTGTTGGTAATGGTTTTCTTCATTGTTGAAGCTTTTCTTTAATTTTTTTCAGAAGTCGTAAATTTAGGTGGATGGGGTCTTGCGCTGGGGTCACTGTTCCTTTATTCCATTTAGCATCAGGCTTTTGTTTAAACCTTTTATCTTCTTGAGCACTAGACTTACCTCCATTACACTTCCAGGTACCCCTTATCTCCTCATACTGTAATTTTGAATTTCTCTTTGTCTAGCTTGTTCCTTTCCATGATAAAAGTCAGTACTCAGTTGTCTTGAAATCTCCTCAGTCAAAGCCATTAATCCAAAACTATTCAATTTAGCCTCAGGCAGACTTTTAGGACAAGGGTAAAAGGCAGCCACATTTTCCCCTCACAATGGTCTGTAGGCCACTTTCTGATATTCTTTCCCTCTGAAATTTCTTGAGCTGGACCCACATACTTCAAATCACAGAACTGTCTTCCATGGACCTACTAGAATGGTCCATTAATCTCCACTTAAAGTGTTCAACTGCACTTGGTGCCAAGCCTGATGACCTGAGTTGGATCTGCTGCTCCTGCGCTCTAGTAGCACCAAGTTCTGAGAGTGACATGGTGAGCTTCTCTTGCTGCTCTGATAGGTACTTCTGGTAGAGACTAAGAAGTTCTTGACATTCTCTATATTGTAGCTGAAGAGCTTCCCTTTCTTTGATGATCAGTTCATTCTGTTCTTCCAACTGCCGGATCTTCTTCTCAAAGGACTCCTGCTCAGTTTTCAGTCACTCCTCTGTCACTTCCTTTTCTTCACTTACTCTGGCCAGTTCTTTAATTAAGTTAGCAATGTGTCTTTTGTCTTCAAAGACATAAATCTTTCAGTGATGCACTCTTCATTCCTCCCTTGCAGAAATTCTGTTCAGCTACTCAATCTCCTGCACCCTTTAAAGACTCCATGGTGATGGAAGCATCAGCCACCCTGCAAGTTTTTTTTTTTTTTTTTTTTTTTAAAGATTTATTATGTATTTACTGTCTTCCCTGAATATGTCCCTGCAGACCAGAAGAGAGCACCAGATCTCAGTACACATGGTTGTGAGCCACCATGTGGTTGCTGAGAATTGAACTCAGGTCCTCCGGAAGAGCAATTAAGTGCTCTTAACCTCTGAGCCATCTCTCCAGCCCCATTAAAGACATTCTTTAAGACCCCACCCTCTTCTCTCTTTTCTGCTTCTTAGTTTACTTTAATCCAGGTAGCTCTCTCAATACTTCACATCTTTAGGATACATATGTAAAAGGATTTACTAATGCTTATTAGTGGTAGATACAAACACACACACAAACACACAAACACACACACACACACACACACCTACCTTTTCCAAGTAAAATGGGATCTTTACAAAAAGAATTACTATTAGTTTTCAAAATATTTAATGTCATGTTTTACACAGGGATTCAGTATAATCTTGCTAATTCATGGCTGCCTTTTTAATATTTATTTCTATTTATTAAGTGTATGCATGTATGTGCCTGTTTGTGTATGTTGTGTGTGCAGATGCTAGAGGAGGCCACAGAAAGGCATTGGGTATCTTAGAACTGGAGTTACAGGCGGTTTTGAGCTACCCAATATGGATGCTCTGAACGAACAGCAAGGGCCTTTAACTGCTGAGACATTTCTCTAGAACCATGGCTAATTTTTTACAGGAAACTTTGCTGTCACAAAATGGTATCTGTTCAACAAACACTTAGTGAGGAATCTAACAGAAAAAACTTTCGGATAAAGATTTAATTTATTTAGAAACATATTCCCCTTTCCATATAGGATGTGAAAGTGTTGTCTTTTTAGTGAAATTTTAGGATGTATTAAAGGGTTAAGAGCAATACAATCTAACTGCCTCTATCCAGAGGAGTTCCTAGAGCCTGCCTACTATTTAGCTCCTCATCTCTCTGCCAGGTATTTCATTGCCTTTAATACAAAAGAGTCGGGAAGAATGATACGACGCTGTACTATTTACAGGAAAATTTCTCATTAGACAATGTAACTGAGAGTTCCATATATTATAGATGACTTAAGTATAAACATTAAATAAAGTTCCACAGTGGTATTACAATTGAAATACTTTCCAAATAAAGATATATAATATCTTCTCTGGGAACTTCAGAAAAAAAGAAATCTTACCTCTGGTGATTTAAGAATAGTCTGCAGAGGTTCACAGACAGACATTTCCTGTTTCTGTATGACATAATTGTACTTAAAGAGTATTTACACCAAATAAATAATCTGTCTTGCACAAGATATGCTGGGGCAATGGGGGCTCAGAGCTCATGGGGGTGGCCAATCAATGACTGGTCTAACTTGAGGCCCATGCCACAAGAGGGAGCCCAAGAGGCCAGGAACTGGAAACTGGATGGCCCTCAGATCTGTGGTAGAACCAAATATGACTGACTAAAGAACAAAGGGGGTAAAAAACCTCAATAAAATGATTCCTAATGATATTTTGCTATACTTGTAGATCAATGCCTAGCCTAACTATTATCAGAAAGGTTTCTTCTGGTAGCTGATGGGAGCAGGTATAGAGGTCCATGGCCCAACATTAGGTGGAGCTCAGGGAACCCCCATGGAAGAAGGGAGGGGGGATAGACTATAGTAGCTAGAGGGAGTGAGGACACCAGGAAGATATGGTCCACAGAATCAACTAAGCAGGGTTCACAGAAGCTCAGAGACTGGAGGGCAATCATGTAGATTGCATGAGTCTGTGCTTGGTCCTTTGTATATTTTGTTGTTGTTTAGCTTAGGGTTTCTGTGGGACTCCATTCTGTGGGAATGGATACTCTCTTTTACCTCTTCTTTTGGACCCTTTTCCTCTTACTGGGTTGCCTCCTCTAGCCTTGATATGAGGGTTTGTGCTAAGTCTTATTGCATCTTATTAGGCGGTGTTGGCCTTTGCTCTGAAGCTTACTGAATCCTGTTCTCATCTTCCTCTGCCACAGGCCCTTCCTTTTGTTGTTCCTCCAACCTGCAGTATCTGCTGCATTTGTTGGTATAGTTACTTTCTTCTCATCTTTCAGTCTCCACTTTAAATGTCAGATTTTCAGACTGATTTCCCAAAGTTGTTAGTCACTCAATTTTAAGTCAGAATTAATGAGAATCTAGTAATTACATTTTCAAATAG